CCTTTTTCCCTTTGACATGTTTCCTCAGAGTGTATGAAGATAAGCAAGACTATTTGTTCAAAGTATAATATTTTATTTCTTACAATAGTAATTTTTCTATAGACAGAGGGTATGTGTAGTTTGAAAAAGGATATTCGATTTTTTGGTTATTTTTATAATATGAAATTAATGTTTCATAATTTATGAAAATAAAATGAAACATTTGTTGGGAGGAGAAATGATTTAGGAACTCTTCTGTAAAGGCTGAAACAATTGAAGTTATTTCAGTATAAATTGGAAATCTAGCTTATATTGAAATGAAGTTGCATTTCTTTGCTATCCTTTTTTAAAAATTTATCTTTAAGTAGTTGTACAAAGGGGCTTTAATTCTAAAATTGCATTTTCAAGCCATAGCCTGAGAGACTACTGGGGAGGTTGCACAGAAATGCCTTTGGTGGCTGAAATAAGCCAGCTTGGTGTCAGAGATATTGCCATCAATATTCCCAGTGAGTTTGGAACTCTGTCTTTGCATTTTAATCAGTTCTTTTAGTAATTTACATGTTTATACAAGCCACCTGAAAATCTCCTTAAAATGCCATTCTGATTCAATAGATCTGAGGTGGGACCTGAGATCTTACAATTCTCACAAGCTCCTCTGTAATGGCAATGTTGATACCCTAGGAATACAATTCAAATTGTGACATTTTAGATCTTTTGCATCCATGACCATTTGTAACCCGAGGTGGTTGGCGTTCATTTACTTTGGCTACTTAAAACTGCTCACTTATTTGACTGAGGAAAATATTTTTTTGAGAAATTGAAGGGGTTGCTACTGGGGGAAATTTGTTAACATTACATACATTGATCATGAGAAATTTTATATGTCATTGATACCAGGTTGTTCAGAGACTGAAGGAGGTAAGAACTTTTGAAGTGGTAGCCAAGTTCCTGCTGCCTAACTGAAACTAAGATAAGATCAGATTCGTTAGGAAACAATTATCAAAACAGTCTCATTTATTTTGACTAAGTCAGAAAGAATGATGGTAAGGAGAGATTCATTGGATGTTTTGTAGAGACCATTGCTTTAGAATGTGGGAGATGACTTACATTTTGCTTCTGTCATCACTAAGGTTTTAACTAATGGATTTCTACATCATCACCCTTAATGCTACTGAATTATTTCCATTAGTCATTTCTCCTAGGGAAAATGGAACTAAGAACCTGTGCTGTTTTAATGTGTCCATCTCTATTTTGTTATGTGGTTTTAAGAAAGCCTCTTTAAGCCTGTTTGAAGTTCCCATGGTGAAACATGAAAATCAAATCTTTTGCCTTGTTCCCTGTAGAGTAACATAAATCAAGTAGATTTCAGTTGCTTCAAAATCAAAATTTTAACAGTATCATGTGATATATTTATTCATCATTTTATATGCAGGCCCATAGCAAGGTATTTTACATACAATCTAAATAGCCTGACACATGTTTGTAACAAAATGAAACATTTCTAGTCCTCATGTCAGCAGTTAAATTGACCTTTTTTCATTGTTACCAATCAAATGTACCTGATTACAGTACTTAAAGTTTTTAGTTCTTTATGTAATAAACACCAATGTAAATGGATTGAATGTATAGTAATTTAATTCACATATTTAAAGACTTAATTCTAAAGGAACGTAAGTGCAAATAAGGCCAATGTCTTAAGCATGCATGCCCTTTTGAATTCTTTAGCATCATCTTTGTTTTTTTTTAAGCTTAAACACATTGATTTTAAACAGAGTTTGGCATGTGTCCTAACCATAGATATCTATTGGTCCAAACTTATGTTCAAGAACAGCAACTGCAAAATGCATTAAATATAAAACCACAGTGATTTATATGCAATTTAAAAATTTGAAATAAGTTACTGTAAAATTTACTTTTGTAAGAAGAGGTTAAGTAAATGGTGAAAAAAATAGTTATTTTACTAATCATCAAGGAAATGCAAGTTAAAACCATATAAGCTATTACCTTACTCTAGTAAGAATAAGTGTAATCAAAAGTACAAAAAATTAAAAGTGCTGGTAAATATGCAGAGTAAAGGGAACCCTTGCACACCACATACCATTGGTGAAAATGTAACTTCTCAAAAATGCAGAATGACCATATTTTCCAGCAATCCCACTAGTATTTTTTATCTAAAAAAAATAAAATCAATGTGTTGAAGAGACATTTGGATTCTCAGGTTCATTTCAGTGCTATTCATCATAGCCAAGATGGAAACAACCTAAGTATCCATCAACTGATGAATAGACAAAGCAAATGTCTCACACACACACACACACACACACACACACACACACACACACACACACACCATGGCAAAATATTCAGTTGTAAAGATTATGAAAATTCATCATTTGTGGGGTTACCAGAGGCCAAGGAGTGTAGGAATGAGATAGGGAAGAGGAGGAGAGGCTGCTTATTAGATATTTATCTGTGCTTCAATAAGAGCAAGACATTCTGGTGTCCGACTTCACAGTTGGGTAGTAGATAGCAATAATGTATCACAGATTTTATAGAGCTAGAAGTTTGAAAGATTCTACCACAGGAAATGACATTTAGGAGATAGTCTTATTTAATCTGGTCTAAACACTACACAATTCATACTCATATCAAAATATCATATTACCTTATTAGAGAGAAAATAAATAAAATAAAATAAAATAAATAAATTTCATTAATAAAATGTTTTAGAAATTTATTAGGAAAATTAGGATTACCATGTATCCTTAAATATAATAAATCAATGTAAATTTCAGTGTGTAGCTCAGGAGCTGGAGTGTTACAATCACATTTTTGCTGGTTGACCTTTGGTCTGGCTTTGGTTACTTCTCAAAGTCTGTTTCTTTAGCTATAGAATAAATTCCACAATATAAAGCTCAAAGGATTCTGAAGGGCTCAAAGGTGTTAATGCATGTACAATGGACTAAATTGTGTTCTCTCAAAATTCCTATGTTTAAATTCTTGCCCTATTGTATTTGTATTTGGAGATAGGATCTTTAGGAGGCAATTAAACCCTCTAGAGTTCTTACAGATAATCTCTGATGGTTGGATTGGTGACTGTATAAGAAGACAAGAACACATGAATAATGAAGAGGCCAGGTTATCTACAAGCCAAGAGAAGAGGCTTCAGAATGAAACCAGTGCTACTGATTCCCTGATTTTGAACTTCCAGCCTCTAGAACTATAAGAAATAACTTTCTGTTGTTTAAGTGACCCAGACAATAGTATGGCAGCACGGCAGACAATCATAGCATATAAAACTCCCAGGATATAATAGAAATCAATTATACATATAGGCAACATACATATAAACTGAGTAATGATGAGAATGCCTATTCTTTCTCTAAACAACTGCTTTCAAGAACATTATCAATATGCTATTATTAAAATTTTTTATTTTTAACCAATATATATAATTGTCTTTATTTCTGGAAAGCAATGCACTATTTAAATACATCTGCAATGTGTGATAATTAGATCAGGGTAGTGGGCATGTTCATCACCTCAGACATTTATCATTTCTTTGTGTTGAGAACATTTTGAACCTTGCCCAATAGTTTCTTTGAAATACACAATACAATTTCTGTCAGTGATAGTTACCCTACTGTGCTATAGGACATTAGGATTTAATCCTCCCTTCCATCCATGCCCTGTAACAATTAACCATCCTCTCCCCCTACCCCCACCTACAACACTCTCTAGTCCTTGGTAACCACTATTTTCCTTTATGCCTTCTTGAGGTCAATTTCTTAGCTTCTATGTGTAAGTGAGAATGTGTAGTTTTTGTCTTTCTGAGTCTCTCACACTTCATTTACAAAGTTTTGTTGTCTCAGGCTGGGAAGTTGGCTCAGTGGTAGAGTGCTTGCCTTGCATACATGAGGTCCTGGGTTTAATTCCTCAGCACCACATAAGCAGAAAAAAGCCAGAAGTGGAGCTGTGGCTCCAGTGGTAGAGCACTAGCCTTGAGCTAAAGAGTTGAGGGACAGTGCCTGGGCCCAGAGTTCAGCCCCCATGTCCGACCAAAAAAAAAAGTTTTGTAGTCTCATCCACATTGCTGAAAATAGCAGAATTTCATTCTTTTTGTGACTGGATAATATCACATGGAACAACACTCCTTTTAAATTCAAGTTACTATTACTACTGCATTATAATATATTATAAACTCATATAGTATTACTCTATTACTACACATTCTAATGATAATGTGACAAGAATAGTTTTGTAGTATTATATATTATGTTATAATAATACTGATTTTTATGATTAATATTATCCATATTACTATCAATTGAAGGGGGAATGGTAAGTGCTATACCAGTGAAATATTTTTGCCCTACGATGCTATATGAACCAGGTGCTGGTGGCTCATGCCTGTGATCATAGCTACTCAGGAGGCTGAGAACTGAGGATTATGGTTCAAAGCCAGCCCAGACAGGAAAGTCTGTGAGAACTCATCTCCAATTAACAACCAGGAAACTGGAAGTGGTGCTGTGGCTCAGTGTTTACAGTGTTAGTCTTGAGGAAGAGAGCTCAGGGATAGCTCCCAAGCCCTGAGTTCAAGCCCCACGACCTACAAAAAAAAAAAAAAAACAAATGAAAAACCTAAGTTGTTATATGTACTTAAAAATAAGAATTTGGTTTGTTAAAACTATTTAATAATTCTTGATTATTGTTAATCATAACAAGTCTAAGTTTCTTTGTCTTTAGTCTGTCAGCTAGACAAATCCTTGGGAGTGCTAATTGCCACATTTAGAAAGCTGAAAAGATAAAGAAGATTTAGTTGAAGCTGTGATTAGGGTGTTATAATGTGCAAGCAAATTAAAGTCACTGACTTTGTTTTCTGTGAATGCTGTAGAACTATGTGCATCCTAGTGTTTGTAACATTTATATAGACTAGTAAGCTCAAAGTTAAAGCTCAGAGTTTGAGTACCTACTACACTATTTTGGAATTTTTCAGTAATAAAAATTTATTTTTTTCACAGGTATCAAGGTTATATTTATACATATAGAGTGTCCCAGACAGAAACTGGATCTTGGAGTGCTGAGGTACAGCTATTTTGTTTATATTTGTTTCTGTGGATATCAGGGAAGTGTTTGAAATTTAGATAGGTTTCATAAAAGAAAAAATCATATCACACACTAACAAAATATCCACTATATTTAAATCCATACAGTTCCTTTCCAAAATTGTTCATGGATCATTAAGAAGCCTTTAGGGAATTTTGGTTCCAGTTGTAGCCAGCCAGTATTATTAGAGTGTTATGAATCTGGGGAAAGATAAACAAGTTGAAGGATTGTTTCCAATTTTTAGCTCCTATAGGAAAGTGTAAAAAAAGCAGGTAAAATCATTAAATCAGACTTAATTACTGAATGATACTGTTATGAGTATTGGTGTTATTGTATCTTAAAAATAGGATTCTTATTTGTAAGAGTCTATAATATCTTTGAGGAGATGAAATGTGAAATTCGTTGTTGTCAATTTCAAGTTTCCAACTCTGCTGCCCTCCTCTTCCTCAACACATCTATAATTTAGGGCAGGCTACTTTTTAAAACATTTACTTGGATTTAGTTTAAAAAATTATCTTTAAGTAGTTGTATAACAATATTTCAAAAAAACAAAACAAAACAATGTTTCAGTGCTACATTTTCATTTGAGTACAATGCATCTTCTTTTCTAATGTAAGTTTTTTTTAATCAAACAATATTATTGAAAGGAATTATACAACCTACTATTGATCAGAGGGTAAGGAGTTAATATTTGTATGGGGCAAGTAAATTAACTTTCAAAGAAAGACAATTTTCAAACAAAAGCTTTTGTGTAAGAAGAAAGAGAGGCCAGTGTGATACAAGCATGCTTTCTTTAAATTTTAAACAATAAAATAAACTATGAACATTTCAGCAACTGAAGAGAAAGATATCCCTAATCCCAGTACATTTGCAGAGGTCATTTAATTATTCTATATGTTATTTTAGTCTTTTGGAAAATCAGTACAGACCATCTTGATCAGTATCACCCCTGCCAACATTCTCTACCACATTATCTATCCTAAACCCACCCAACCCCTCAAGTTACCTGATTCCATTTTCCCTAAATATACACTGAGAATTGCAGGTTACTTTTTGGTGATCTAATTTCTTCACTTGCAAAATGAAGCTAAAAACAGTCCTTTACTCACAGGACTTAGAGGGGAGTAAATGAGATAATGCATGGAAAGAAACTCTTAGCTACAGGGCCTGGCACAAAAACGCACATTCCTGAAAACAACTGAGCAGTGTGATTGCATAAAGTCAGCTCACTGCTAAGTTACTTACAAGAATTTGAAAAAGGGAGGTTTTCTCAAGTAATTGGGAATTTCTCAAGTAATTGCTGCTGTGTGAGGAGTCAGGAACCCCAATGGAGTTATGTTGGAAATGTTTTGGATATTTCGAATAGAGAAATGGAGATGTAGTGTTTTGAAGCTATTGTTTGCTAACTCTTGATGCTTTTCTACCTTGGATTGCCTGTAGGGTTGCAGGAGAGGAGGAGGTAAGTGGCTTCCATCTGAACAAGTTTCTTTTACTTTGCTTATAAACCAGGACTCTAAGGTTTCTTTAGAACAAAGAATTCTTGAGGTTTTGAAAACTTTTGAAAATCACTGTACCATTCCAAGAAGAGCCTGAGGAGTGAAATCTAATCCCGTGGACCAGGGTCATATGCTATATCATACTTTACTAATCATTGAAGTCTCTACAACTGAAATTTTCAACCTCAAGTGCTTTCTCTGCTTTCTAACTGTTTAAAAGTAGATCTTTTATAATGAAAATACTTCATTATTAGCTTGTGGTAAATGTTAGTATCAACCTCTATTAGTAACTTAATGTATGCTTTTAAACACTCATGTCTAAACTCAAAAATTTAAAGTAACTCTAAGCTTTAAAATACATCAATAATCTGAAAAGTACAAAATTGAGATTGTACATATTTAGAACTACTAAGGTGGGACTTATTTTCAAGCGTATTACCTTAACTTTGATTTTGAGACAAAAAATCGAAGTGTGCTAAGTTATCCTGAAATTTATTGGATAACTCAGACTAGCTTCAAATAAAAATCATTTTACTTCAGCCTCCTAAGTGCTGCAATTACAGATATGTACCACTATGCATTCTCACTTTACATCAAAATAATTAACATTATAATAAGAATTAATGAAAAAGCAGTTCCATTTCTAATAAAAAAACTATCCTTATTAATTTTTAAATTTCTTTGTAGCACCACAGATATGATTAATTGAATACAAAACTAAACTTAATTTATCAAGAATTATGTATGATATATGTGATTTGACCAGAAATAGTCCTCACTAGAGAGTGCTCTTTAGTTGTGGCAGAATATTCTTAATAGAAAAGATTTTTGGTTCGTAGGACTTAACAACCTTAAGAGTCGCTTTTCTCCACTTCAAGTACATTATATACAAATGATTACATACTTGTGATCATGCTAAAGAAGAAGGCACTTATTGAATATAAATGTACCCCATTGACCCTGTTTATATAATAATATTCCAGTTATTTGCACGAAGAGAGTGAAAGACTGATGTGAGTGCAACACAATTCAAAAATCGTTCAATTTTTGAAATGCATATTGCAATTTTTCCTGTTGACTAAATTTGCCTTCTCAGTGATATTTTGCTAAGGTGAATATGAAACTCATGTGTATTCTCAGAGCTCATACCACCTGACTGGGAAAAATGTCTCTAGAGCATATTGAAGACCAGCTGTGATGCAAAACATGTTTCCATGGATAACTAAGTGGTGACAGTATGGGAAATATACAAATTGGAGCAATTACTGATTTCAGGAATAGGTTGGGAGTTCTCAGTGGTACAATTCTTGTGGTAAATGTGCTTTTTGAAACAACGTTTTAGTTTTCCACCATTGCAGGAAACAAAACCCTCCATGGCAGTAGCATTATATTCTCTAGTGAAAAGACTGTGTTAGAAATCTTGGATAAAATCTGAGATTTGTTTTAGAGAGTGAGATGAAATTAAATCTTAGATCCACTTAAATATAAAATACAAACATTGTGTATTTTTAGTTTTAGATAGACTTTTAGGTTAAACTATGGCCTATTGGGTGAACTTAGTGCATGTGACTCAAGCTAAAATTTTTGATGAGTTGTTAATTTAGATAATTCTACATATGATTAACTATTATTAATTAATTTACAAATTATCAGCTGATTTTGATGTCTTTAGGGGTTTTTTTTGGTAGTAGTACTGGAATTTAAACTCAGAGCCTTCTAGGTTGTGACTCTACCACTAGAAACATGCTTCCAACCTTGTCTTTTGCTGGTTATTTTGTAGATGGAGTCTAGTGAACTGTTCTGCCTGGGCTAGCTTTGAACTTCCACCCTCCAGATCTCAGCCTCTTTAGTGTGAGGATTACAGGCTTGAACCACTGGTACCTGGCTTAATTTTAGGTTTCTATAGGTTTTTGATGCTCAGTAGTTCTGTAGCTACTGAAAAATCACTATTCCTGATTTTGTAGAAAAGCACTGACTGGTCTGTCATTTGTTAAGGAAATCCTGTATCCCAAATTCATATTGGTTCTATACATAGAGTGCTAGCATTCTTCTCTTGTTAGCATGGGTAATCAAGTGTTAACTGCATGTATGTCTCCATAAAAATGATGCTTTGGTTGAAAATGGCTTTAAAAGAAGTTTAACAAAATATGTCTTAAAATGATTGCAACTTGCCGGGCGTTGGTAGCTCACGCCTGTAATCCTAGGTATTTAGGAGGCTGAGATCTGAGGATCACCGTTCAAAGTCAGCTTGGGCAGGAAACTCTGTGAGACTCTCATCTCCAATGAACCACTCAGAAAACTGGAAGTGGTGCTGTGGTTCAAGGGGTAGAGTGCTCACCTTGAACTGAAAAGCTAAGGAATAGTGCCCCGGCCCAGAGTTCAAGCCCTATGACTGACAAAAATGTTTGCAACTTGAGGAGTCTTAGTAGGTGATTCCAGCTACAATAGAGCCTTCTTGCTAGTTGTTATCGGAAATGAATACAGAGGCAATTCTATTGCTGTTGGCTGCTTATGTGATCTTAGGCTAGTTGATTATTTTCATTTTTCATATCTGTCAAATGATAATAGTCCAATCAGCCAACACTACCTATCTATACCATAATAGTTGGGGCAACAGATGGACAAGTGCTTTGAAAATTAAAAAAATGCCCTCAGAAAGACATAAGGAGTTATTCTTGTGACTCATCTTTGAAATTTGGAGATTCTCTCTTGGAGAGAATGACCATATGCCCGGTGCCAGTGGCTCATACCTATCATTCTAGCTACTCAAGAGGTTGAGAACTGAGATCATCATTCACAATCAGACCAGGCAAAAAAGTCTGTGAGACTCCAATATTCAGTTAATCACCAAAAAGCCATACAAGGAGCTGCGGCTCAAGTGGTAGAGTGTTAACCTTGAGTAAAAAAGCTTGAGTATATATACAGGCCTTGAATTCAAGCTCCAGTACCATCCTCTCCCCTCCCCCTCAAAAAAATAAGAATGACCATATTATTTTTGGATGAGGTCTCAAGAGAGTTTTATGAAGAGTCTTGATCACACGGCTGTAGCTGGGTGGGAGACTTCTACTGTCAGTGTATTAAGAGCCCAGAGAATGTCTGTAGTGCTCTCAATGAAAAACCTACTTACCCCAAGGTAGGCAATGACTGAGAGTTACTGTAGATAGGGTCGTCACTGTCTATTGACAGAAGTTCACATGCCAGTCATCGTGTTTTCTCATTAAATGCTAAAAGCCAAATTGTTTTTATTGCAAAAATCTTCCAGATGCAATAGCTGAATTTTTTTCTAAGAAATCCCTAGTCATTGTTCAATTGCTTGTAGCGATGCTATTTTATTTTATGTAAAATGACAGGTTTGAGATGGTTGCCTAAAGCTTGGCTCATAAGCTTTTGTGGGAAATTGTTGATTCTAGGCAGTGTCTTTGCAAGAGAATTGCTGTCAGGAAAGGAATACATTTTAATAGTTACTGGCAAATAATGATCTAGTTAAAAACAAACAAGCAAATAAATAAAGGTGACCTTATAGAGTCTTTCATTTCCATGTCATAGAGAAAAATCTTGTCACTATAGTACTGACAGCAAGAGCCATTTGGGGAGGCACAGGGACGTTTCCCAAGGAAGAAAAAAAATGAACACGAAGGGTAAAGCAGGACATATTGTGAGCTGCAGGAGTAGCCATGCATTGCATGCTCCATCACAGTCATTTAAAAAATTTCCTGCATAGTATTTTATATTGTAAAAGAATGACAGGGAGGAGCAGCTGTGAGTTGTTTTTATTTATTTTTATTTGTTTGGGTCCTCAGACTTTTTATTAATGACCTGTAGGATCTGGACTTTTTTCTATGTTTAACTTCATCTCTCTGTTGCTGAATTCATTGTGGGTAATGGCCTGTATACCCTTAGAGGTTCAGGATGTATGATGGGTAGCAGGCAGGAAGGGCAGGCCTATGAGAAAGAGCTTGTACAAACTAATACCACCCCTGGGAGAACTGAAATGACAGCCCATTAGCTCCTCTTGCAGGGAAATTCAGCCAACCAAAGTAAGCTCTTCTGGAGTGTTGTTTTTTTCTTTTTTCCTTATATTTCCAAATATTTGAACAAGTTATACAAATATTACCTCTATAAGCATCCCTTGCCCATTTTGTAGGCCTTTTTTGGTAGCATTATGAGGCAAGTAAATAATTTGCTTGATCTTTTATTTTCCAGACAGCACCTGGGGTACACAAAAGATTTTTCCGGAAAATAAAAAACCTCATTTCAGCATTTCAAAAGCCAGATCAAGGCATTGTAATACCTCTGCAGTATCCAGTTGAGAAGTCCTCAGCACGAAGTACACAAGGAACTACAGGTATGTTTTCCCCCCACAGATTATTCTTCACAGAGTTTGAAGGCTCAAGGTTAAGAGCCAATCTTGTCATAAACATACAATCAACTGAAAGATCTGTAAGAAAATGTAAAAACAAGGTAGGTGCAGCCAAACATCAAGTGAGAGTTGACTATTTATATGCTATAACTTCAATATGCTACACTATAAGCTTTAAATGACACTGCAGACATATGAAAAATATTTGAAGCTCTTTTGTTCCATCTTGTTCTCTCCACTCATTGCTGTAGGTTATAAACACTATTTCACATCACTAATTCAGACACTTTTTTTTCCTTCAGGGACATAAGGGCTAATGCTAGCTTACTTCATGTGACTCTGATTTCTGAATTGATGATGCTTGAATGAATGAGTTTTTACTATAGCAAAAGAATTAAAACAGCAAAAGATCTTTTATTTTATGCATCATGCTAAAGATTGAAGCCTCAGGCTCATATTGGTAATCTTAGTTACTCAAGGAGATTGAAAGTGGAAAGACTAAATTTTGAGGCTAACCCAGGGAGAAAAGTTTAAGAGAACTTATCTAAAAAATAGCCACCAAAAATCAGGGCTGGAGATATGCCTTAAATAGTAGAGGGACAATCTAGCAATTGTGAGGCCCTAAGTACTACACTCAAAAAAAAGAAAACCAGCCAGTATCTATAGGTATTGTTTACTCTACTGTTGAGATTAATCATTTGTTTGGAGAGGTTATGTCTTGATAGAAATAATTGATATTTATAATAAGAGAAAATGATTTTTAACATCCTTTTTGACAGAGTCCTAGTCTCAGGCATAAACTTAGAATCTGATTCAAGTGATGAATTAAATTAACAAATAGCTATCTTTTATAAAAGTGAAGATAACTGTAATTTACAAATTAGTTGATTTTTCTCCTCTTCACCGTATTCCATTCCCTTTTTTTCCCCCATGGGGCTTGAGCTCTGGGCCTGGGTTCTGTCTCTGACCTCTTCAGCTCAAGGTGAACACTTTACCACTTGAGCCACCGCACCACTTCTGGGTTTCTGGTAGTTCATTGGAGATAAGAGTCTCATGGACTTTCCTGCCTAGGCTGGCTTTGAACAGTGATCTTCAGATCTCAACCTCCTGTGTAGCTAGGATTACAGGTGTGAGCCACCAGCACCCAGCAGTATTCCATTCTTTATAACTCTGTTCTAAATAGTATAATTGGGTTGTATTATGAGTTTCATACAACTAGAAAATTTACAGGTTTTAGTTAATCTGTAATTTTAATTTATAAATTTATCTTTTCTTAATTTTTATTATTCTTTTCTTTTAGGGAGAAGAGAGTCTGATGTCTGCTTGAAAACTCCATGAAGAAAAATAAAACACTTTACTGTCAATAATTTAAATATAGATTAAGTCTTGTATGTTGTAGATGATATAGTTCAGTGAGCCATAAATGCGTTTCTAGTTCTATCATAGTCCTATGATGGAAGCATCTAGCTTGATGTTTAAGCTGAAATGGACCTTGTAGATAATGAAGTGCTTTGAAATAGGATAGAGAAAAATGATTCCTTAGGTTATTTTTAGTTATTATATTTTAAAAATAAGAGAGAAGTTAAAGCCTAGTGAATACTTTATGAAAGATTAATGTCAATTCTTGCCAATCATAAATAAAACTAATCCTCAGCTTTAGTCAAAAAGACCACTTTTGAAAGGTGAGATATTCTGTGATAGTGATTTTTGAGTGTCTCTGATTGTAGGGTGGGAAGGTAGTTATAATGTGCAATGTTGCACTAGCTATGATGTGATAGGCTGTTTGGGGCTTTGAAACTGTATGCTTAAACCAGTGCTAGATAAATAGTGAAGAAATCCATTTGAAATATGAAAGAAACTTACTTGTCTAGAATTCTAGTTTTGGACATAAGATGTACAAACCAATCTGGAGCTTAAAGTCCTATAATTTAAGATGTTCTAAATGTTTGTTCTATTTGATACTACAGATGAGTGGTCTGATGAAGTGGACTTTTCTTCTTTTCGTTTATCTGTGCCCCAGTTGTTCCTATTACCTGTAAAATCTCATTTGGAAGGGAATCGTGAAACCACTGGGAAGTTTATCTTTACATTAATTAATTATAATTTTTCTGAAACTTAAATGAGAGTCCGAATTTTATACAGCATTTTCTCTTCACTGCTATATTGTCATCACTTTTTGAGTGATTACATGCCAACCTGCTTCAGGCCTTCCAGAATTCATTTATTCATTCAACAATGTAATAGGTTGCTGGGAATAGAGAAGTAAAAGCACTTGTTAGCTGCTCTTAAGTAGTTCACCATACATTTGGACAAGAAACCCCAACAACAATAAAAACAATATAAGGAAAAGACAAAAATAACTATATAAGTTTATAAGTATGTAAGTGAGGTTCCAATATGTCTTTAGAAACAGTTGAGTTGATGCAAATACTCTGGTCTATGTTACATAGGAAAAGACTATATTGGACTGTAAACTAATATGTTAAAATTCTGGGCTGTACATTAATCTGTGGGCTTGGTTAATAATTAGTGAATTCCTGACAGATATAGTTACTCTTTGTCCCTTGAGCATTTAATATGGATAGCAGAGAAGTGCAAAGGTGGAGTATAATCACTGTAGTACAGTGTAGGCAGTTCCCAATTTCTTGAAGTAATAAGCACCACTTGTAAAGGAATTCAGAAACCTAATTTCAAATTAAAATGCCCACAAATAAATAATTTTACTCTCTAATTTGTTAATTCTGAAACAATCCTACATATATGAATGATGTCAGCATGTTCCTTTACGAAAGTCCTTTTTTGAGGAAAGCTTTCTGCTGTCAGTGGTATTTCACACTTTAAAAAAGTATCTGAAAACTTTATCAAACTACTTTTGTTTTAGTATATCCATCTAAAATGTTTAGAGAGGTGCTAGTCATCAAACTGAAGCATGATAAAGGTTGTTAAACCAATTTCCTAGAAAAGGCAAATATTTTTCTGATTTAAGTATGATAAAACTTCCCAGTTGATGAACATACTTCCATCCCCTTTGGCTTTACTTTTATTTATCAAATTTATTGCATTTTTTACTTCCCAATGTGATCATCTTTTTTAGTTTCCAGTATATAATAGACTACACTTTTACAGAAAGATCATATCCTGGCTGTATCTAAAATATTTCCATATTAACATGTACATGTGGAGTCAAAGTAGAAAAATATATATATAATTCTAAGTGTGTCCTCTTTAGGGAAAAAGGTATGTCAGCAAGTCCACAGCTTATGAAATACCTGTTCATTTCCTCTGAAATTTGTTCTTAAGAGATAAGATAATTGTCTGCTTAGATAATTTCTGTTTAACTGTGACAGGCAAGAATGCTTGTGATAGTAAACAGGTAGAACAAATCTACAGAGAATTCCTCTGATTAAGTCATCTAGTACAAATAAAGGACTGGAATAAAGATATTCTTTGAAGTAGAATGTACAGAAAATTGTAAAAAATGTGAGAAACCGTTTATAATCCTGTTAAGTATGTTTCAATATTTACTGACCTCTTATGTGATTCATGTTGTTAGCTCAGAATCCAAAATCTATTCATAATAAAACTCAAGTTTGCCCTTGAGCATTTCAAGGTTACAGGATGCTTAGTTTTCCTGTTCGGGTGCTATAAATTAGAACATTTTTAACCTATGTTTGCACTTGTAGTTAGTGGGAATCCATTAATTTTCAACCTGAAGCTGGGGGTGAAGTTAAACTACCTCATTTGGACACTTTTATAATTTAGGGTCATTGGTCAAACATGTAGTAAAAAGCAGAATTTTTTTTCATTCAGTCATTTGGAGATTTATGTAGAAAAGTATAACAAACATGATCAAATGGATCGTGCCCATACATATATACACACACCCACACCCACACACACCCCTTGATTGCTCCTCCCATCCCAAGATTGAATTGATTTTTTATAACATGATAGAAGTTGGTGCCATATTCAGTGTTAAAGCAAGAGTACATGAGACCTGACATTTCCTTTCAGTTTTACCAATGATTATCTTTGTGAACTTATATAAGACAGTTTGTTACTCTTATCGTGTTTTTCAAGTAGGAATACTGAAGTCTTGTTTACCCTCAAAGGATTATTGTACTACCAGAATCATATAACCTTAAAGTAGTAATATTATTAAATGTTTGATGGTGTTGATATTTGAAGATCTCTCTAATCTACAGTGAATAGGGAAGGGACACAGAAAAAGCTCATTTTCCTTTAGTGATTGCTGTGTAATAGGAATAAAAACTCCTATCTTCTTATTTTAACTCTGAGGGTCAATGGGGAATGCATAGTTTGAAATATTCCCAAGTGATTATAATAATAACCCTCCATTTTGCTGATGAGATGTATTGATACCAAGATTATCTTCTGCTCCATAATCTTTTCAGCCTGTCTTTGTACATGTGTGCCTCTGTGTGTGTATGCATATGTGTGATGCCATATATATGATATTACATATACATATTATTGATTAGAAAAGCAGCAGGGCATTTTGAAGTGATATAAATTCTAAGTTTCAGTCAAGGGTAGTTTGGAGTATATATGCCACATTATTGTCTAGTTGAATTTTTCAAGATCTGTTGGCCAGCTTTTCCAGTGTCACTTGGAAATATCTTCTAGTGGAAAGTGAGTGATAAATGGCAATTGCAATGACTTGTAGTGTAGGGCCTCTGAAGAGCTTACTGTTTTTTTTTTCTTTTTTGGTCTGTCATGATTTCTATCTCCAACTCTCGTATCCATTTTTTGCCAGTCATCTGGGTGTTCTTTTCTCCTAGCTCTCTCTCACTGCCCACTCCCCCTTCTATTTTTCTTTATTGCTGTGAAAGGCATCAAAATGAAACCTATTAAAATGTCATAACGTGGATGCATTTAAATCCACAGTAGCTACCCTTCTTTGTTTATTAAGTAGTCATTTATGTCATAGATCCTATTTGTATGAAAATAAAAATGAACAGAATTTTGCTTCAAATTCATGCCTTTTGGATTTTTGTACCTATATTTTCAAGATGATGTGGTGTTTTTTATTTACCCTACCTATCTCAGGTGACCAGATGGACTCAGCAATGCAGTTTGGCGCATGAATAAAATGGTACACAGGGCTCATTTGCAGTTTTATTTTTTAAAAATGAAATATTCAAAGTACTTTTCTTTCAAATATCGACACATAATGTTTAACTTTAAATATTTACAGCATGTTGTTGTGATGCTCTTGTAGAAAAATGCATGCTTCTGGCCTGAAAGCCAGAGCAAAATGCAAAAGACCATTTAACTGCAGCCAGAGAACATGAACCTGTACAGTATCCAGTCACTTTCAGCACAGGAGTGAGAGCAGGAATACAAAATTGGAACCTATTGTTTCCTAGCAACATGGCTCAGGCCATTGTAACACAATTTTCAGTATGATTAGAACCTCTAACTGTTGTTATATAGAAACTGAAAATCTTGGCATACATTGTAAACATCTTTACTTTTCATGAGAAAGTAAGCAGCTAAAAAGAATACTTTTCTGATGTAAAGGCTGTACTTCTCTTTTTCACCTTCTCTCTTACTGATACTTTCACCAGAAGAATAGTAAAGATTTAGACATTGCCATGATTCATACAAGTAAAATATTTTTTCAAGGACACAATCTGATATACTAACATTTATTTAAGAGGTTAAACTCCACCACTACATCTAAGGAAAGATTTTTTTTTTTACTGCCAAACACATTTCCTTTGACAAATACGTAAGGTGACAACTGCCAAAACAAAATCCACAGCAAGTTTAACTCTAAGTATTTTTAGTTACTGTTTAGGAAGTAATTTCTTCTTACACACAGTAGTATATTTGGTCCTTAATAGCTTTCACATGAAGGACACAGTGAAATAATAGTCACTATTTTGTGGTTGAATGCTTTTTTGTTTGTTTTGTTTTTTTGTTTATGTTTTACTGTTTGTCATTTTTTTCTTTTTTTTTCTTTTCTTTTTTTTTTTGGTTTGGTTTTCTTTGCAGAATAAAGAACCTTACAGAAAGCTGTGGAAAAGCAGTCTGAAATCTGAAGTAGCAGTAGTCAGGTCAGCTTTGTGTATGTCAGTTCTTCCAAGAAAACAAAAATGTTACATCCAGTCTGTAGCCTTATGCTTTCCCACAAGATCCAATACTGTCCAATCTTTCCAAAATTTTCTTTAATAATTGATTACTGTACTTTTCCTTACATCACCATTAATCTCTATTAAATTGTCTTTAACATAAACATGCCTTTTTAAATGTAAAACTTTGCCCTTACTCTCTCAGGTGATATTACAATGGGGCCTGGTCTGATTTAAAAACAAAATAAAGGAAAGGAAGAAAAAAAAGAAAAGTAGAAATCAGTCATGAAAAAAGTCTTATTAAAAAGTATAACTTAAGTTTAAATCTGTCTATGTAGGTAGCATGTGAATTCCAAATTATACATTGTCAAGTTTTCATACATTTGGCTATGTTGTATACATTATATTATATATATGTAGTTTATATATTATAGATCTTCTAGATAAGTTGACAGTAAATGACACACTTATTTATACATTATTTTTCTTGGGTTTAAAATAAAACATATACTTCTTTCTATGGTAAATGTTTGGCTGAAAGTATGAGTTGAATTTTATTTTCCTTTCCTTCAGGACTCATGCTTATGATGAATAACAATTAGAATGAGAACTAAAAATAAATGCATTTAAATATCTCTTCAACTTTGAACTTTTTAGTTCATTTGGATTTCTAGACAGTAGTGCAAGAGGAAAATTAAAACAAAAACCAAAAAAGTGCAAATGGATTGGGCCTCAGGAAAGAAGCAATTAGAGAATTCCCTGCCTCCATCCCAGCATTCTCTTCAAGCAAGAGTCCAATTAATGTGCTCTCATGTTGACTTATTTGAATGGTGGCTATGCAGTGTCAGCCACCTGTCTTCTGGGTGTGAGAAATACATATATTTCTCTTAAAGTTGTTTTGCTTTCATCAGGAAATACAAATGAATATTTTTCCCCTTAATTTAAGCTTCAGAAATAAAAGTCAGTGAAGGCATTCCTTCTATCCTGCTGAATAGGACATTATCTACTCAATTATCTTCATGTTCTTATTAAGAAATTCCAAAATGTTTCTTTTAGATTTACTACTTGTAAGTGCTAAACTTTTGGGTTATTTTTCTTTCCTCCCCCAAACTTTGGGAGTTTTAAAGAGAGTAATAATTCAAGGCAGTATTAAATCACAGTTGTAAGTGATTAAAAGTGCATTTCCTGAATATAATACAAATATAATGTTAAGAAACTAAAGGCACAAACTAACTAAATATGTATTACAAACTAGAAATGCACAGTACAAGATAATTACTATTAAGTAAAAAGCTCCAAATATTTGTTTCTAATGATATTTAAAGCAGTTTGAAAATGATACATCATCAGCGAATTGCAAAAAAGTATAATCACTTAAAATATAACTAAAATAGACTCTAATATTGACATCTTGGATTAGAGATAAAATACATCATCACACTTAATGAACTCTTTATATACAGTTAACAAATTATTTTCTCACTGATTTTAAAGAACATCAGAAGGTCTAGGAAATTAAGGTCTATTTTTAGGTTAGTGTGGAGGTATTCAAATTCTCAGCAAGTTTGTGAGTGATTTCAGATTTCCAACTTGGATAAATGCTATACAGAAAACACAGGCCTGATTCAGGAAAAACTCAACGATATGATTTTATTCTGGGTTATCGATATCTTGAGCTGGTGTGCTTCCAAATACAGAAATGAGTTCACCATGAATTTCTCTCTCCCTGTCTCTCTGTCTCTGTCTCTCTCTTTCTTTCTCCCGCTTCATATATAAGAATGAAATAGTCCCAATCTGAAAATTTTAAAAATGAAATGTTTGAGAATACCCTCCCTACTGTCTTCCCCCTTTCCTCACATTCTTCTTTAGGAGATAAAAACAGACTCCTTAAAAAACTTAACACAAGCCAGGATTCTGATTTTACATATTTCCAATGAAACTGTCATCACTAAGCAAGGCAGTAACCCCATACTGTATTTAGGTAGTAGCTGGAAAAAATCCAAACAAACATTCCATCATAAATTCTCCTTCAGACAGCATATGTTCTGACTGGGTGATGAAAGTGCAGAAGCTGGCTCAGGGGAATTATCTATTGGGCACATTGTTGTAAGTTACAATTACACAGCATTTTACAAACTATCTCTTTTTCACAGGGCACAAATCCCCCAGTACACTTAAGAACTTCTTTTACTGCAGGAGTCAGACAGATTGAGAAAATACAGTTGTTACTCACACCAATCCTGATCTAGCTCTAAACTTTAAATGATCATAGAACAAATAACCCACCTGGGACATAACATTTTCCTTGACAAAGACATGACTAAATAAAAATAAATGGAGTAAAGAAAATGAAATAATTATAGAAATTTGGATTTGTAAAAACTCATCTGTTTCTATGTAATTTGTTGAAATGTTTTAGGTTGAAAAGGGTTCACTTAATTCAATTTTCTGAATACGTCTGAGAGAGGTTCAGTACAGAATGGGACATTTGAAAGATGAAACTAAGTGGGATGAAA